TGCTGGGAGGAGGATGTTTCTTAGGTAAGGAATTTGTGAAATTCCTCCTGGGAAATTCCTCCTATTTATCAAATAGTCCCCCTGGTAAAGGGCAGGGAAGACTTCCTTAGATGTCCCTGAGGGAAGGCTGGAACCCACCTTTACAAGGTTATCTGGCTTGAGCCAAGACCTTTGAAAAGCGGCTGATGGTTTTCTCCCAAGCTCTCTTTCCTCTTTCAGTCACTGGAAAGTCCAGTGTTTGTTTTCCCGGTCCCTGACACAGGCAAAGGTTACTGTTTAGCTTCCTTCCTAGTGGTTGCATTGAGGAATGAGTAACCTAACAGTTAGGAAGGTACACTGACCTGGAGAAGAGGGTACTGAGGACGCTGAGGAGTAAGTGTGTGGTCCGAGTTCTAATATGGTATAAAAGACTCAGTAGAAGTTGAAGAGTGAGAAATTCCAGTGACGAACACGGATTTAGTCATTGAAGAAGCTAGATGGATTAAACAAGTGTGAGAGAATTCAGAATTGTCCATGGCGCCTGTCCATTCTGCTCTATGGCCCTGTAAGCCCTAGGTCAGCTGAGCGAATCTTTCCTAAGGCTGCTGTCCCCCTGCACTTTGCACTGAGGATTTGGGCAAGTGATTGCAGAGATGAATGATCTGAACTAAAAGCAGAAATATATAGAATGCAAAACTTTCAAAAATTGCAGAAGCATTGTACTTCAAAACTCTTTTTGACAGGCTTTCAGACATTTTGAATACAGTATGAGTAAGGAGTCAACTTCAAAGAATGCTAAGGCTCCAAGGTAACCCTATAAAAATTTATTCCACATTACATTGCACTATGCTATGCTAATCAGAGTAAGCTGCTGCTTCAGGGCTCCTATTAGTGGTTGCAGTCCTCCTCGCAAAGCAACAGTGGGAGGTTCCAGTGGGAGAGGTGTAAGTAGTGGAGGAAAATGTCCAGAGTAGCCATTTGTTCATCCATCTTAATGAAGTGGCCTTGACTGCAGGTGAGTGGCTTGAACTGTGGGCTTTTTCCACTTAATTCTGTTGTGGCTACTTGGGTAGTTTTCGGTGGATAGAAGATCTTTCTCTGTCTCTCCTTCTCTCTGTAAATCTGCCTTTCCAATAAAAATAATTCTTTTAAAAATTGTATTATAAGGCTGTAATACTCCTAACAATGTGTTGATCACATAAAAGACAGGCATATAGACCAGTGAAGAGGAAATTTCTAGAAATAACTCCATGCATTTACATTAGCTAATGTTCAACTGGAGTAACAAGAACTTACTCTAAGGGATATCCTGGGTCTAATAAAGTTCATTCAGCACAGAGTATGAATGAGCTGGGCCAGGGAAACGCTAGTCCATCAACTTCCAGTGAGTCTTGAGAAGTGTTCTAGAATGGTCAAATGAGTCAAAATTTATGTATTACGTTGTAAGGCTACATTGATTGGCTTGCGTAAGTGAGCTTTAAGTAAGCAGGGGTATTCATTTCCCACCAACCGTGAATATGATTGGCTGCAAGGACCTTCAGGTAGGGTATTATCTCTGAAAAGAGGACACTGAAAAGTAGGACTACTGATGAAATTTAAGGAGAGCATTTCTCGAAATAGATAAGGCATAGACAGATACAGAGCACATGATTACCAAAGATTGCTGTAGATGGCTAAGACAGAGCAGGCCCTTTGTAACCAATCACCCAAGACAAAATTCAATACAATTAATTGAGCTTCCATGTTATTTTAAGACAAATCTTAATAGATATTTTTCTTGAAAGGTTTGCATGGTTTTTTAGGGCTGAATTGTTCTAATTGTCATATAAGTAGTATTGAGGGGCTGGCGAGATGGCATAGTGGGTAAGCTGCTGCTTCCAGGGCCAGCATCACATATGGGCACTGGTTTGAGTCCCAGTGCATTACTATCTTTCCTTCTTTTTATTATTATTATTAAAGATTTATTGATTTTTGTTGGAAAGCCAGATTTGCAGAGAGAAGGGGAGCTAGAATGATCTTCCGTCTTCTGGTTTACTCCCCAATTGGCCGCAGCAGCTGGAGCTGAGTGGATCAGAAGCTAGGAGCCAGGAGCTTGTTCTGTGTCTTCCATGGGGATGCAGAGTCCTGAAGTTTGGACTGTCATGTACTGCTTTCCCAGGTCACAAACAAGGAGTTGGTTGGGAAGTGGAGCAGCAGGGACAGGATCCATGAAGTGTGCTCAGCTGGGATCCCAGCGCTTGCAGGGGGAGGATTAAGCAATTGAGCCTTTGTGCAGGGATGTGCATCGCCTCATCCCTTAGCTGCTTTACTTTCAATCCAGCTCATTGTTCCTGACCTGGAAAAGCAGCAGAGGACAGCTGAGGAGCTTGGGTGTTAGACCCCAGGTGGGAGACCCCTGATGCTGCTTTTGACTTCATGCTGGCCCAGCCTGGGTTGGTTGGTAGTTGTGATCTTGTGGAGAGTGAGCCAGAAGGTAGAGGTGACTTTCTCTGTGTCCCTCCCTGCCTTCCTCTCTGCTTCTCTGCCTCTCTCCCTCTCTTCCCTGCAATTAGTACCTACAATAGAATCAACCCTCTTTATGCCACGGTCTTGGTGTGGCCCAGCCAACGCAGAGCCCTAGTGTGTCTTTGTCTTTCTCGTGTGTGGAGTCACATTGTGCCCCTCTTTCTCACTGGCAATCGAGTGCATCAGTACTTGCCCAGAGCCATCATTCAGTTCACCTCGTATTCTCTAGAGAAAGTGTGTTTCAGATGCTTTTTCTTCCAGTTTTAAGAAACAATGGGTAGAAGTTCTGTAAGTCAAACTCCAGCCTTTTGATGATCTTTCATTTCTTTAGAAATGTCTTGCTGGCTTATGTGCTTATGTTGCACAATTTGAAATATCAGGTTATGCCCACTTTTCAACAGATTAGAAAGGCATTCATCCAAGTTCTGCATATCCATAAAGTCATCTCAGGTTTCCTGGTTCCTGTGGAAAGTTATCCCAAAATCTGCTGATAGCCGACAGTCAAGTAGTAGTTGATAAGGTACAGATACTTTGTAAAAGTTAAAGGGTATTAATTGTATATTTCCTCTAACCCAGCAGTTAGTTTAATTTTTTTAAAGATTTATTTATTTTTTAATTGGAAAGTCAAATATACAGAGAGGAGGAGAGACAGAGAGGAAGATCTTCTGTCTGTTGATTGACTCCCAAAGTGGCCGCAGTAGCCGAAGCTGAGCCTATCTGAAGCCAGGAGCCTCTTCCACGTCTTCCATGTGGGTGCAGGGTCCCAAAGCCTTGGGCCCTCCTCAACTGCTTTCCCTGATCACAGACAGGGAGCTAGAAGGGAAGCGGGGCTGCCGGGATTAGAACCAGCGCCTATATCGGATCCTGACGCATGCATGGCGAGAACTCTAGCCACTAGGCCACTGTGCTGGGCCCTTAGTTTAATTTTTGTAACCCCGGCTTTAGCAAAGGAATGCATTTTACTTTCTGAGTCCACACTCACTTACCCCACCTGACATGAACCTCATCAAGCTCATTCTTCTTACTGTGTATATCTCAAGATTTTATATATTTCTCAAAGTGTTTATCACTGTCTATAAAATGAGTTAATATGAGCTGTGTAAGTTTCAAATCCAGTTGAGAAAATGGTCTTCAGTTGCATGATTGTTTTGACTATCCTTTGGTTATTCTGGGGATATACAGGGTTCTGCATGAAGTTAATGGAAGATGTATAATATCAAAAACAATTTTTAAATCTAATTGTAGTCCTGAACACAAAACAATATTTATGTTTGCCTCTCTCTGTTGGTTTTGTTGTTGTCATTCACAAGAAAAGATTTTTTAAAAATTAAGATATATTTATTTTACTTAAAAGTGAAAACCTGACAGAGGGAGTGAGAGAGAAGCAGAGATCTTCCAGCTGGTGATTCATTTCCCATGGGGTCACAGTGACTAGGGCTCTGGTCCAAAGCCAGGAGCTAGGAGCTTCTGCTGAATCCTCCACATGAGTGGAGTGTGCCACGGGCTTGGGCCATCCTCCACTGCTTTCCTACGCTGTTCACACGGAACTGGATCAGAAATGGAGCAGCCAGAACACAAACCCGTGCCCATATTGGATGTCAGAGACAAGGCAGAGGATTAACCTGTTATGCTACTTCACTGGCCCATACTATCACAATTTATCTTGGGTTTCAGTGTTTCATTTTGTATTTTTTACTGAACTTATCTTCTTATTTAATTTTTCATGAATGTTTTGAAGTACCCATATATCGAGATGTCATTTAATTTGTGCATTTTTAAACACTAACAAATTTGTCAGCTGTAAAAACAAGTCAAATAAAAATACAAAACCTTATTGGTGTTTTGGGTTTCTTCTTTAAGATTTATTTATTTATTTGAAAGTTAACATTATACTGGGAGAGGGAGAAAGGGAAAGAGAGAGATGAAAGAGAGAGAGATTGACCTTGCAACCACTGGTTTACTTCGCAGAAGACTGCACTGGTGCTAGTCCAAATTGAAGCTGTGTGCCAGGAACTTCTGCCAAATCTTCCAAGTGGGTGACATGAGCCCATGTATGTGGGCCATTTTCTGCTACTTTTCCCAGGCCATTAGTGGAGAGCTGGATTAGAAAAGGCCAGGACTTGATATAGCATGCTGGCATCCCAGGTTGCAGTGTAATGTGTTGTATCACAATGCTGGTCCAGTGGATGTTTTAAGATTAGGGTAAAATTAGTGTTTTTAACTTCTTTGTAAGCGTGCTCAACTCTTAAGCAACCTATCAATAATATTATTTCCAGTCCTTAATTTGTTGAACTTGACATGACTAGCTCAATTGGAAACACCTGTTACTTGACTGATTAATGGTTCCCATTCCGTGCAAATTGCGACAAAGCGCCAGCAGCTTAACTTTGAGTGCCATGATTCATAATCTGACTTTTGGACAGATTTATCAAAGTTACCTTTATGTCTTATTGCTTTACATCTTCGGTTTAAAGTGGTAGGAGGAGACGTTGCAGACACAATTTTCTGTTTTTCAGACTGTTTCGCAGCTCTCCCGTGCGTGCTTGACCTGGTCCAGATGATGCCGTTTGACCGTTGACTCTTAGCTCATTGCCATCGGGAAGAGTTTATCACCCAGCAGCCAAGATGAACATGGTGAAGAGAATCATGGGGCGTCCAAGGCAGGAGGAATGCAGCCCTCAGGACAACGCCTTGGGTCTAATGCACCTCCGTCGCCTCTTCACGGAGCTGTGCCATCCTCCCCGGCACATGACCCAGAAGGAACAAGAAGAGAAACTATACATGATGCTGCCAGTGTTTAACAGGGTAAGTCCAGAACTAGATTTTAGCAGAATCTTGAGGTGAATGGTAAGGCCCAGCAACGAGAAAAGAATAGACTGAGTCAGTTTTTAAAAGTTTGGTGTGCTTATTCCTTTGCTGTGTGGTAATGTGACTTAACAAGTGATCTGATCAGAATGTCCTAGCTTTTAAGGGGAGAGTATAAACACACTGTAAAATGTTCCAGAAGTGGTTGCGTTTTGGAAGAGGTATAGATTGTAAATTACTACTTGTATTATTTCTGCTATATTTTTAGAGAGACTTATTTATTTATTTGAAAGAGTTACAGAGAGATAGGGAGGAATAGAGAGTTCTTCCATCCTTTAGTTTACTCCCTAAGTGGCACAATGGCTGAAGCTGTGCCAGGCTGAAGCCAGGAGCTTGAATAGCTATCAGGACCTCCCACATGGACAGCAGAGGCCCAAGTACCACAGTGCTGGCTTCTGCTGCTTTCCCAGGTGCATCGGCAGGGAGCAGGACCTAACTTGGAGCAGCCAGGACTCAAATCAGCACCTAAATGGGATGCTGATGTCACGGCTTTGCCTGTGATACTGTGATATAAAGTGATATGTGTGTGTGATATGGGATATGTGAGTCCAATGTGATAACCATTCTGCCGATGCTCACTCCTCTGCAGGGTTATAGATGCATTTCTACTTTCCATCACCATCTGCTAGTGCCATTCAATGCTTTTAAACAATATTCTTGAGTACTTAGTTAAGTAGTCTTCCATAGTAAGGAATTATTTCCTGTCCCTCCAAACCATAGCATACATACTCACCAACACATGTTACCATCCTTATCCCTTCCACAGAATTATGTCACTTGTGTGGACAGTATTCATGCCTTGCTCTCCCTGGCTGCATTTTCAATATTCTGGGATGAACGAGAGGATGCACCCTCATTTTTTTTTCATTATTATAGAACTTGTTTTCCCAAGATTTGGAGGAAGTATTTCAGCACCTTCTCTCTTTTCACTCTGTCTCCCCACTTTTTCTCACCCCCTCTCTTCTTCCCAGCCTATCTTATTCTTTTCCTTTCCCTCTTTGTTCCTTTATCTGCCTTCTCTCTCTTGCCTTCACAATGTCCTTTGTTTCTCACTCCTTTCTTGCTTCTGTGTCTTCTACTTCTTTCTCTGTCTTCATTTCTGTGTTTTCTTTTCCTTTCTCTCTCCCCTTCCTTCCTTCTTTTTTTTTTCTCTGATTCCGTTCTCCCAGATCAATCTCTCTACATCTGACTACACTTCTCTATCCCCAACATCTCCTTCTGCCACCTTAGTTCACATGGTCTCTTGTCTTCGGGTTGTCTTTCTATCTGCAATTTTCTGGACTCATCTTTTGTTCCTCACTGTTTAGAAGTTTCACTGTAACATCATGATGAGGCTCTTAGTCTGAAATCTGCTATTATTCAAGTCTGGAAACAATATTTTAATAACATCTCATTTTTCATGTTTGTGTTTTCTGGAGCTTTGTCAATCAGGTATGAGATTTTATAGACTAACTGTATTAGTGCAGTTTTAATATTCTTGAGTAGTTCTTTTAGAATTACACAATATATCTGCTTTCTGAAAGTATTAAAACTTGTTTTTGTTTTCTTACGATTCCTGTGTAGTTCTGCTAGCTCCAACTTACTTTTTTCAGTTTATTCACGTTACTCTGTCTGTGTGTGTGTGTGTCACAGGAATCCTCAGATGTCCTGTAAAGATTGCCCCAGTGTATTTAAGCGTGAGATTTTGAAATATGGATGAGCAATTGCATGGGCAAGGATGCTAGGCCTCTGCCTACCCTTGGATCTTTTGCATGTGTTGCTGTCCCGGGAGGAGGTATTCCTCAGTCTGACTGGGACAGCTGAGCCTGACTCGCAGTGCTTTCCTAAAGTTAGTTGAGGACTCAGGTTGATGTTTCAGGTGCACACATCGTTGTCTTTGCTTTGGTTGGTATCTTCGTTTTTCTCTCTGAGGGACTTGATCTCCACTGTTTATGTGCTGGGAAGGGGCAGCCAGCTTCAGTTTTTGAGTTGTAAAACAAGAATGTCTACTTTATGAGGTTGCCATGGTGATTAAATAACATGTCATGCTTAAAACACCTAAAAAATGTTTTGTCCTCAGAAATTTGTGTTTGTTGTGATTTTTCTGACTGCACCAATAACCCAATCTTTAGAAGACAGAGCAAAGGATATAGATTCATATACCAAACTAACAGCTAATATTGGCAGCTGAGCGGAAGACATAGATCCTACATGTTTCTGTTGTTTGTTGCTGTATTTATTCTATTTTGTATATTTATTTATCAAATACACACTATGCCATACACTGGGCAATATTTGGAGTTTCTAAGGTAAGATACAGTCTCATTTTATAATGCTAAGACGTAATGAATGAGGTGAGCACGTACATGTGTTGGGTAAGATTTAAACACATAAACAGTGTACACAATGATGTTGGTACAGGCACGAGAATATATAGTGGCACTAATAAAAATAGTTCTGAGGATCCGTGGGGATCAGGGAAGGAAAATCTTCCTCAACAGTGTGCTACATTGTTGATCCCTTACAGAATAAGCGGTACCAAGCTTAGCAATAAATTGAGCTTTGTTAACAAAGATGCTGACGCAGAATTTAAACATGAGCCAGGGTCAAAGGCAGCACACAGCATTTATACGCTGTCCATCAAGGTGGGATAAAAACTGTCAGTATTGCATGATGCAGATCCTGACCTGGTGCTCTTTCCTGGAGGGGCACAGAGCCAGGGACGTTGTTGAAGCTGCAGGTGAGAGGCAGAGGAGCCAAAGCAAGGCCATCTCCCTCCGTAGCTGTGAAGGAAATGGGTATTGAGTCTATTTATGACCTCCCTTAGTGATGGTGTTCAATAGGCAGTTAGCAGTTCAGCTGAGCAGATTTATCTGATGTTCTGGGGACCCATCGACAGAAATGTGGTCTTGAACACCTGGAAGGGAACAAGTACTCACTTCCACAGTTAAGTAAGAAAAGCAGCAGACTAATGCAGTCTCGGAATTTATAAGGTCCAACAACCTGGTGCCGATGTGGTCCTGTAGAGGACCCCCTGGCTGCATCACCATGTGGCAGAGAAGGGCTACCCTGCAAAGTAGCCTAGCTTAGTAACAATCTGCTCTAAAGGAGAGCATCATTGCTATAGCAGGTACAGACAAGCTTGCAATGCCAGCAGCCTCTAGGGGCGCCGGTTCATGTTCCAGCTGTTCCATTTCAGATCCAGCTCTGTTAATGGCATCGGGAAGCAGTGCAAGATGGCCAAAATGTTTGGGCTGCTGCAAACCACTATGGAGACCCAGATGAGACTGGTCTGTCTTCCATTGCTTCCCAGATGGGAATTATCAGGAACTCTTTCTAATTTTTGAAGTTGCTTTAGCCTTCGCTTCTCCTCTTTTCAAATTACCGCTCTATTATCTCTTCCCTTCGCAGGTCTCAGCATGTAACTCTCAAGTCCTTCTTTCATAGATTTAAAATAGTATGTTCTTTAAAGACTTTAATGTTTCTGTTCATTCCCGCTCTATCCTACAACTCATGAACAATATGTGAACTAATTCTACTCCTACACTTCTGTCTTACTAGGCCAGCAGAACCTCAAGCCAACAAATCAGTCACCTCCCTCTTCTACTCCCAGGCCTGTCTGAGCAAGATTCAGTACAGATTTATCAACCACAACTTTCACTGGACCCTCAATGCTAATTCATTCTTTTATTGCCCCTTTTTTTTAATTTCATTTCATTTTATGACACAGTTTCATAGGCTCTGGGATTCCCTCAACCCCTCCCCAAACTCTCCCCTCATGGTGGATTCCTCCATCTTGTTGCAGTATTACAGTTCAGATCCAGTCATGATTCTTTCATTGCAAGCATGTGCCATGCATAGAGTCCAGCATCTTATTGTCCGGATCAATTCGACAGTTTCATTGGGAGACCATCTCTGGTCTGAAAGCAGAGCTGACAGAATATCATCCCCTCCAATGAAAAGCCACAACATAACGTCCACAACAATTTACAACACTATGGAGTTAATTGGCATGGTATTGAGTGACCAGTATGTTAGAAAATGTATTGCCCCTTTTCAATTCTTTCTCTCTTAATCTCTTTACTAATATTCCAATTCATCGCAATTTCCTCAAGTTGTCTGCTCAATTTCCTTGCTCCATTTCATCGGTTAGATCTCCTCAGTCAATTAATGTGAGTTCTGGAATAGAAATCTTACAAAAAATCATTTTTTAATATTTTAGGTAGATACATGAGATGCTTTAGTGATATTATCTATCTGCTTGTAGTGTTTGCTCAGTTTCATTAGCTGTTAATAAAATCATTCGGATCAGAAAATTTTAATTGGCTGATAGAAGCACATACATGTACAGTGCCTTAAGCAGCTTATACAATGAGTGATTTCCATATTGTAATGGTCCCAGTAATTAAAAACATGAAGTTACTACTGTATCATTGTGAGCAATTTTAAAAATATAAAGATTATGTTCAAGTATCATTATGAGATTGTTCTTAGACAGCATTGCATTAATAAAAAGTACCATTGGTGAATGGGTAGTCAAGTATCATTCTAACACCAACCATTTCTCAGCATAACTGCTAAAAAGGAAGTGGAGTATTGATTCTCAAGACTGACTCAAGCTAAATGTGAATAAACTGTAAGCTATTTCTTAGGTAGGAGCTCTCACCTACAGAGTAGTTTTTAAAGTAGCTTCCTAGTGTGACTTCAGGGTGTTTTTCTACCCACAGGTAGGCAGCTGATGTGTGCTGAGTGCTTTCGGTGGAGTTGCTGCTTGCTTGCTGAAATTCCTACCACGTCCCTCCTGGGTCCCCTGAGGAGCCCGTGGACAGTTACTCTCCCTCCGTGGATTCTCTCAAACTCAGAGACTATGGAGGCTGCTCAGGATAGCTGGCATAGCTACATAATAAAAGATTTATTTATTTTTATTGGAAAGGTATATCTATAGACAGGAGGTGAGACAG